GCGATCAAGGACGCTTCTTATGTGAAGTGGCCACCTTGGATGAGAGGGGATCCGAATACTAGGAATAGAAATGTATACTGCCACTTCAAACGAGACTACGATCATAGCACCGAGACTTGTAAAAATCTCTGCGACGAAATCGAGGAACTCATCCGTCGCGGATATCTCAAGAACTTTGTATTAAAAGAAAATAAAAACCAAACAGATCGGCAGGGGAGCAAGGTAGAGATGGTCCCGAATCCAGCAACAGGCAAAGCGAGCAGCCACAGAAACAGCTGCCCGAAGAAAGACCGGTTTGAGGGATAATTCACATGATCATCGGCGGTTCGATTATCGCGGGCTGCACATCAGCCGCGGCCAAGGTTAGAAGAGCCCCTAATTCTTCACCGAAGATGACACACACGGAATCCAGTACCCCCACGATGGCGCGCTCGTCATAAAAATAAGGATCAATGATTTCGAAGTGAAGCGCGTCCTGATTGACTCAGACAACTCAGCAGATATATTGTTCAAGGACGCATTCGACAAGCTGCAGCTCCAGGAAAGCGATAGCAAGCCCGCGAACACTCTCTTAGTAGGCTTCAGCGGAGAGGAAGTCAGGCCCCTGCGACGAGTTACATTACTTGTAGAGGTCGGTACGTGGCCTAGTATTGCGAGGTTCGACCACACTTTCCTAGTAGTCGCAACTCCCTCCCTGTACAATGCCATAATAGGTCGGCCTATCACCCACGCTCTTCGCGTAGTGGTGTCCACCTATCATTTGTCCATGAAGTTCCCTACAGACTTCGAAGTAGGGGTAGCACGAGGTGACCAGCTCGAGTCTCGCAAGTGCTATGTCGTCGCCCTCAAAGGGAAAGCTAAGGTAGAAGACAACCTCAAACTAGAACGACCTACGGAGTACACTRAGGAGCGAGCTTCACCGATAGAAGAGACGTTCCTTATACCCGCTTCGGTAGAAGATCCAGCCAGGACTCTCCAAATCGGCGCATCGATTGAGGAGCCTTTGCGTTCTCAGCTGGTAAGCTTCTTACTTCAAAATTTAAATGTGTTTGCATGGTCCGCGGCGGAGATGCCCGRCATAGACCCTAAAATAATAACTCACAAGTTGAACACTGATCCTGTAGTTAGGCCCGTTAGACAGAAGAAAAGCAACCTAGCCCCGAAGCGTTGGAGAGTAGTCGATGAGGAAGTCGGGAAGCTTCTCGCAGCCGATTTCATCAGGGAGGTCCATTACCCGAGCTGGGTGGCTAACCCCGTTCTGGTAAAAAACGCCAACGGTAAATGGCGCATGTGCATCGACTATACTGACCTGAATCGAGCTTGCCCAAAGTACTACTTCCCACTTCCCAAGATCGACTGTCTGGTAGACGCGACCTTAGGGCACAAGTTGTTGTGCTTTCTGGATGCATACTCGGGCTACAACCAGATCAGGATGAACCCTACTAATGAAGAAAAAACGGCCTTCATAACCGAGCTAGGCCTGTACTGTTACAAGATCATGCCCTTTGAACTAAAAAATGTCGGGGCAACATTCCAAAGACATGTAAACCGACTCTTTGAGCTGTTGATCGGCAAAAAAGTAGAATGTTATGTAGACGACATGGTCGTCAAAACTCAGTTTTCAAATGATTTAATAAAAGATTTACATTGTATTTTGAAATTTTGCGCAAATTTAACATGAAATTAAACCCTAACAAATGCGTCTTCGGTGTCACCTCGGGTAAATTCCTGGGTTACATCGTTAACCGACGTGGCATCAAAGCCAACCCCGACAAAATCAAGGCCATCCTAGATATGAGACCGCTTCGTAAATTGAAGGAGGTTCAGAGGTTGAATGGTCGTATAGCCGCTCTAAGCCGCTTCATGTCTAAATCGGCATATCGCTGCCTGCCTTTCTTTAAGGCAATTAAAAAGAGCAAAGACTTTGAATGGACCGAAGAGTGTCAGCTCGCCTTTGACGAGCTCAAAAAATACCTAACCAATATCCTGGTTTTAACCCGACCCGAGGAGGTAGATATTTTGAAGCTCTACCTCTCCGCGAGTGACGAGGTAGTCAGCTTGGTACTGATAAAAGAAGTAGATCGGGTCCAACGACCCATCTACTATGTAAGTAAAGTTTTGTAGGACATGAATTGATCACTGCTCTGGTCTCTCCGTCCAAGCTCACCCTGGGGTCCTAAGTAGCCACCCTCCAGTGGGTTGGAAAAGACCACCCTTCCGGGTTACGAGCGATGAAGTATCGCCTTTTCCAAGCCGGGACCTTGTTCGGGCAGCTGTGCAAGATCTTGAATCTGGGCCCGGGAGAGATATAATAACTCTGTCTGACATCCCCGCGCAGATAGGCCGAGTTTTGCTTGATCGCACAGATCGAGCTAAAGACGTCYAGGGTTAGGGGTCGGCCGTAGGAGTGGAACAAAGAAATAGTGCCAACGATATTCCAAATAGAGTTCGGATGAAGCTGGTCAATGGTGATGTTGTAAAATTTAACTACTTCTATCAGGAAAGGGTGGAGTGGGAAACGYAGTCCTGTCGTGTGTTGCTCCTCAAAAATAGCGAGCTCATTGTGATCATGAGCCCAAGGGTACTAACCTAAGGATACGCTGAAAACTAAGCTATYAGGGTGACRATAGTGGGACACTAAGTACATTAGTTTATTTGAAGACAGTTTGGAAGGCCCGAAGTCATCGAGTTTCCGGCCTCGGGAAGGAGTTGGGGCCCTCTTCCTGGGCTTCAGTCTCCCTGAGCCGAGATGGCTCAACTTCAGGGTCAGAGGTTCCCTCTAAAGACCGGTGAGGGGAGGCACCCTGCCGTGGGCKGACTTCCCCGGCAAGAACAACAACGCCCTCCACCTCGCTAACACTATCTACAAGCCTATCTATGCTAGAACTCGACATAATCAGAAAGCAGGAAAAAGCTAAGGAATGGGGACTCACCGGAAACAAAGAACGAAGTGGAAAATAGAAAGAAAACCGAGCTAGAAGACTCTAACGCGACCTCGGGAGAGCTCAATTGCAGAATTTGTGGCGAAAAAAGTGAGTCGCGGACCCCCTATTTATAACCACTATGTCCAAGAACCAACGGTCGAGATCGAAGCAATCCAATGGCTCTTAGGAAAACCGGTTGCGTGACCCCTGAGGGTAAAATCGGTTTAGCGCATTTTTTTACGTCTGCGGAGTTTATAAATCATGTGACGTCCGCGCGTAAACCAGACGCGACCTAGGTTTTCCTGGTTGAGCCGGGTGAGCGAACAAGTCCAACCCATGATTCATCTGACTAACTGACCGGACCTCGGACCAAATCCACTTGGCTCGTCATGAACTCCCCGCACCGGGTCAGGACCCCTGGCTCGGGGAGTGGGGGGCAATTGATGTAGGGTGATTTGGCCTTACGTAATAATAGGGGGACACGTGGACACGATCTAATTGACAAGACAACAGCTCATCTCGACGTACCCAAGTCTATGACGGACCGAGCTCAAATAACCGAACCACCTCAGGGCAAGTCCACCTCGGAAGCAAGTCCACTTCAGGACAAGTTCACTTCGGGGCACGATTGCATGAAGATCACCTCGGTTATAAGACACATCGGCATTCGTACCAGGACGGACCCAAGGGGCACTAGTTTGGGTAATATTGACCGACCTCTGCATGTTACCCCCGAAGATACCGCCACTAGATTCCACGCTTTACGGGATCACACCTCGTAACTGCCAGCCTTATCTCCCTTGTYCGAATCGGGCGGAAGCGATAAGCCTTATCGACTGGTAGCGTTATCTCCTACTAATATAGATATGGGCCTCATCACGACAAGAATCCCGGAACCACTCCGAAAAACCCGCGAGGACTCCAATATATAAAGACTCCAACCCTTCGAGGGAAAAAGGTACGCGTAATCACTACTTACTAGCTATCTTGCTTTCTAAACTATCTTCAGCTCGCACATTACTGACTTAAGCATTGGAGCGACCTTGCCAGGTAAGCACCCCCAAGTTCTCTGATTCTCTCTGTGCAGATCAGCCAGCTCCGTTGTTTACTGGAAGCCAAATCATCTCCACCTAGGAGCAGTCAGATTGCGTCGCATCAAAAAATAAATCAATTTTGAAAAAAAGATCGAAAGGGTTTGAGCTAGTGATTTATATATAGAGAAAATTTAAAAAATAAACATTTTGGTCAAAAGAAAATAGATGAATGGGTATTTTAGACATTTACCTTTACATGCTTCCTTCGGAAATAATTGCAATTACCAAACCTCAGGTATTGTTAATAAGGGTCGTTGTAACCCATGATATTGACTTTTCAAAGTTTGACCCTAGCAATGAGAAACGTATTCCGTATTTCATTCCAGTCAAAAACGCAATCGAATCTTGAATCCAGAGTCCAGACTGACCCTTGGATGCGCACGGTTGGACCACCAATCTTCCCTAAATTAAGCAATACCTTATCCCTCTCCCACTAGGCCACTAGTGAGAAAAAAGCTAATAAAAAAGCGTGTTGGTTTACAACTTAATCCACAGAGCAAATTGGATTCCACATGGAAGTCCTACGTGTCGTACAGCTAGGCCTGACAAGTATCTCCTCCTTATCTTGCCACGTGTCCACCTTAAACCGTCCGCACAAGCCGCCGAAAAACAGAGAACGCAACTCACAATCAAAGCATTCAAGAAGGTTCAGGAAACTGGCCCTACATATATCCATTTCCCTAAAACGTGTCCGTACGCACGTGCCACAAGTCCAGAGCTCGAAAATCCCACAGACAAGTTCTCTCTTTAAAATATGCTGATTCACGATATTACCCTCGTGACGATGGATATGAATCTCTGGTCATAAGGGTGTTCTTGTAATTTAAATATGGACAAGTACAGGAGACAGACAGGTTCTCAGTATCTCCCCGCTTCGGAAATTCCGCCATATTCGTTGTATCGCACGTGCAATGGGTACCTTCGGCACGTGCCTGCGGTGAAGGTTCGCGGTCGCCACTGACTCCGTTTAAAGATTTCTCTAGTTCCCGTCATTTCGCCATGTGCAATTCAGAAGAAAAAGCTTTGTAGGGTTTTCAGAATCTCCGATCCCTTGATTAGGAACGGCTGGAATCGTCAAAGCGGAGAGGTGTATCTTGGTTTGTTAAGGTTGGTAGGGTTTCGAGATGTGGAATCAGATCTGGCAGGGAAATTGAAAGTGCATCGTTGGGGTTTCTGTGTTTTAGATCCTACTTTAGGGCTTGGATAGATCTGGTGGTTCTGGCTGCTTGATTTTTCTGTCTTTGTGGTGGTTGGAAAATTGATGGTTCAGTTGATGAAATCTGGCAGTATCCGACCGGAATCTGAGCCGCCGTGTCGGAATAAGTTGCCGGTGAAGTTGGAAATCGAGGACCCGCTAGATGAAGAACATGGTCCTGTCGAGAAGAAGCCTAAGATCTCTCCTCCTCGTCAGCAGGTTTGATTGTCTGTGCTTGCTTTAATCATTGTTCTGGGGTTCTATTTTGAGATTAGCGTCTGATTGATTTTGAAAGGGAAAGCTAGAGTGCTTTTTCTCCGCTTTTTTTCTTCTTACTATTTGAATTTTGAAATTTAAGGTTGTTGTTTACGTGCATACCGTTTAAGGGTGTTGTTTTTCCCTTGAGATTTTATGGTTTTTGTGCAATGATACCGTTTAACCTTGTTCATGTATTGCAGTTTCTAATGAAATTGGATGTTGTTGTTGTTTATTTTGGGTGGTTTTGTATCGGGACTTTTCAGTAGTTTTAAAATTAAATGCTGGTTTTTTGTAATAGCAGATCTGGTTTTCTATATAAGTTGATTTGCCCTCTTTCTTCGGTTGTTTGTTGCAGCAATGGAGCTCAGAAAGCAGCACATATCCAATCCCACCATCGCAATATAATCCACTTGATGAGCCTAGTCCGTTGGGTCTGCGGCTGAAGAAGAGCCCGTCGTTGTTGGATTTAATTCAAATGAAGCTTTCTCAGAGTAATGCTTATACATTAGGAGGTGGACATGGTGAAAATGTTGAATTAGGTAAAAGGAAGGACTCTAAGGGCGCAGTTTCGGGGGCTACTGATAAGCTGAAGGCTTCGAACTTCCCTGCATCGCTTCTCAGAATTGGGACCTGGGAGGTATCTACAAATATATTTGGTATTGGTATTTAGTAGTTAAACTGGGCGTACTTTTTTTGCGCTTGCATGTATAACACGAGATTAATTGAAATCCTATATGGCAGTACGCATCCAGATATGAAGGTGATCTAGTGGCGAAGTGTTACTTTGCCAAGCATAAGCTCGTGTGGGAGGTTCTTGAAGGTGGCCTCAAGAGTAAAATAGAAATCCAATGGTCTGATATCGTGGCTTTGAAGGCAAACTGCCCTGATAACGGGCCTGCGACCTTAGATATAGTGGTATTTTTCCGCTCTTGTTATGTTTCTCTTGGTGCTTGTATTCTTTATTCGAGTTGTTGAAAGCATTATTTTTGTTTATTTTTAGCTGGCCAGACAACCTCTTTTCTTTAGAGAGACCAATCCACAACCGAGAAAACACACTTTGTGGCAAGCAACTTCAGACTTTACGGGTGGACAGGCAAGCATTCACAGGTATAACAAAACGGAATTTTCTTGAATGTCTTTGAGCAGAAACCAGAAAGTCTTGGGAGCAGTATTCTTATGGCCTTTCTTCTAGATTGTTCAGCTCCATTTTACAGTAGTTGCTTATCGCTATTCTTTATTTAACTGAAGTGTCATTTATTATTCTTAACAATTTAGGTTCACGTGCTTCACCTGGTTTGTTAGTGTGTTTTGATGAACTAAAATTGAATTTGATGTTTGATATTGTAAGTTGCTGTATTGTGGGCTGTACCCATGATGCCTAGAGTTTAAACAATTTAGTCTCCCTAGTTTTATCCATTATGTTGGTGTTAATAACATATACTCTAACCAATTCAGTTAATATCCTTTATGAAATATTTTGTTTCTCTTAGAATTTTGGTTTATATATTCTTCTCTGTTAACTTTTTCTCTATTGCTTTCTTTTTCAAAATAAGTGGTGCTTCACTTGCTTAGGTGCACATTATACCCCTTGATCTTGTGCCTCTGGTGCTAGTAGCCCCTTATGCTTTAGTTGTGTTTCTTACTTTTAAGCACTGATAATTACATTGTCTAGATGGGAGTGTGGTTTCCATGTTGACATCACTTTCTTAATTACTTGTTTTATCATCCTTTTTCCCATGTGTATTGAAGAGTTGTGGCTATCCTCCCTTTTGCTTTTATTTGTTTCCTAGTGGATGGTATGTTGCCTGTTTTTGGTGAGGGCAACACTGTCGATGTTATCATTTTCTGCTGTTGAGATTGAAGAAGTCTTCAAAGTAAGGTGAGCAGTAAAGACTCAACTAGATGAAACAAAGAAGGGGAAAATTTGGAAGGTAGTTTAAGGGTTCTCTCCTGGATCTCTTTATCTTCGAGAACGATGGAGCCAAAGAAAATGTTTTGGAGTTCTATCTTCTATGGAAGATTGATGATGCTTTTGTTCCTTGTAGCCATTTAACCAAAGGATTTCAGAATTTTGGCGAGGATTTATTTTCCTCCTTAAGTTGCTCTTTTATTTATTTTTTTGATGAATCTTAAGTTTCTCTTTTATATATAAAGAAGATGTTGAATGGATAAGTATCCCCTCCATCAATATTTTTATCTAAAATTAGAAGTGTTGGGAGAATATTTATAGTTAATCTTAAAATGGAATACAATATGGATTCCATCAGTATGTTTCTTATGGATAATCCTCATAAGACCTTACAGTGTTTGCATTGCTTTGTCCTTTTTCCCCTCTGTTATCTTCTTGGTTTGGAATAAGTACCGTCATTATGGTTCTTAGAGATAATCCTTCTAAGACCCTATGATTATTGCATTGCTTTCCCAATAACTGTGCCCTTTTTCCCTATGTTATCTTCTTGGTTTTGGAAGAAGAAATAAACATTTTCCGAAGGAAGGGGTCTGAGGGGAAAGAAAAATATTGTCACATAGAAAGAAGCTCATAGACATTTTGAGGGGTCTCCTGTGTTGGTGCTTGGTACAGTAAAGGAGAGGACTGTGGCCTTGCTTGGGATTTGTCTAGATTTAATTTCCAAGGGAAGGATTCCATGATGCTCTATTTCTTTGTTGGTGCATATTGAAAGAATTGGAAGCAAGGATCTTAGAAGAGAAAAAAGTATGAGTATAGAAAAGTGACTTTTCACACCATACAAACAAATTATTGTAAATAAAAAGCGTTTGGAGTCAATAGGCTATCTATTGGAAATCAATTGTCATTTACTAATGGGATTCAGTTGATTGGTTAGATGCTTTTCTCTTCATTTCTTTTACTGCAGTTGTCTTTTTTGGGTAAAGCAGAACTCTGGGACATGGTTGAGTTGTGTAGATGTGATGGTTGGTCTGATTAACCAGAAGGTATTTTTCTAAGGGGTGTATTGTTATGGTAGTGCCTTTGTTTTGGTTGGTCAGTGAGTTGGATTTTCTTCTCTTTCTTGGTGCTGTCAAGGAAGGAATCTTGTTTATTGGATATCTTCCCTTTTCCTTGTCAGTGAAGATGATCAAATTTCTGTTCATGAAAGAAAAACAAGTGATGGGGGAGATCACTATGCCTTTATTTATCGTTTTTCTTTTCATCTTACTAATTTGTCTTGTTTAAATCATTGTGTTCCTATGCTTCTTTACTAAAGGGTCATGATCCAATCTTCATCCCAGCTGTCTGGGGTCTTGGCAGTGGTGGGCTGGATACTGACCTATAGCAATTTTTTTCTGCATAAATTGACCTCTATCAGATTCAACCCTGCATACTCATGCATCTGATATCTGTCCACTTTGCTCCTTAATTTGATAACTTCTGGTCATTTTTATAGCTGAAAATTGTTTGTTTCTCAGTCCTGGTGGCCTACAACAATTCTCCATTGGAGGTTTCTTTGCATACAAAATTTAATTACCCTACATGGCACAGGGTTCATTGATATTACTTGTCATATATGATTGTAATGTTTGCTAGGCATTTGGGCTTTTGATTCTCATGTTGTTGCAGGTATTGAATTTATTTACTTTTCATGGTTGCAGGCGACATTTTCTGCAGTGCCCACAAGGCTTGTTAAGCAAGCATTTTGAAAAGCTTATCCAGTGTGATCCTCGCCTGAATTTGCTAAGTCAACAACCAGAGATAGTGTTAGAGAATCCATATTTTGAGCCAAGAGGTTCTGTTTTTGAGGGCCCAGATGCTATGAGCAGTGACTATGCACCCCAGTTATCTTCTCTCCAGGACACACCGACCCCATCTGCTGCTCATTCATCTTCTATAAAGAGTGAACCATGGGATACTGTTGCTAGGACACCAGAACATTTGTCCCGGGAAACACCTTCCCCTAGTTCAGGTACACTCGTGGATCTTTTTTCCATATGTGGGAAACATGAGGCTAAATATTTTTTAGACATCTTTGAAGAATTTTTCTTTCTAAATAAGAAAAGCGGTTGGCTTTTATCTTTATATTCGTAATTTCTTTCTCTGTTAATAAACCATGGATTCTTAGAATTGTGCTATTTCTTTTTTGTAAGCATTGGTGGAACTTTCATAACATTAGTATCTAGTGAATAATTTCATAACATGTGTATTTTCCTTATTCATTTCAAGCACATGGTCACAAGCAAAAGTATTATTCTAGAAAATCCAGGATCATGTGGGGCTTTCCATCTCCCTGGAAAATAAAAAAGGCAGTTGCTCAATGTTGGTCCCAGCTATCTTCATGGATATATAACTACAGAAAACACTGTTGTGGCAATTAACATAATTATTTTTGTGATCAAGTATGCAAAATCTCTTACCCTAATTGATGACAAACTGTTCTGATGTTGTACCAAGTTGATTAACAACTTGAGCAACAACAAAGAAGGTTTGGAGATAGACATAGGTTGGAAACTATGGTGATGATGGAAATAGGCAGCAGTTGGGATTCCAACATGGCTTCATGKGAAGTTCTGCACCAAGTTGGGGCTGCATTTTCATGGTGCATGCAGAAACCAGAATTCGGCAACTAAGCTGGACAGGGTATAATATAAAGAGATAAATTTGAATAATATGTGCTGTAATAAATGGAAACTAGAAAGAAGAAAAGATTAGTTACAGAGAATTAAAAACTTATTCAAAGCAATATGCTTTTTGGTTCAGTCACTTCAGCTGTTAGCAAATGGCCTCTTGATCCTTCATATTCAAAATGTGGTAGTTCTAGAAAACTAATTTTTCATCGTTATTTTGAGATGTTGGCTTAGGCAATATTTGGTACGGTGGCTGTTTGTACTTGAAACACTGCCACATCAGCACCAACCTAGGTGTTTTGAGTTTAAACCTCGATTTCTGTTTGGTTGAAGCTGTTACAATCCATTTGTCCCATGTTGGTAGTATGGGATGCTAATGTGAGGTATCTCACATCGGTAGAATGGGATGCTGTTGTGGGGTATATATGTGCTTGGGTTACCTCCCTCTAACAGCTAGCTTTTAGGGGTGAGTTCTCCTAAGGCACATAACAAATGGTATCAGAGCCTACACTATGCCTCTCAGTTGCAATCGTGCGGTGCAGGTGGTTACATCGGTATTGCAGTGTTCGGCCAAGACTAGTTGGACTAGTGCAAAGCCAGCTGTGTGGGTGCCGGGACTTCAGAGCGTGATGGAATGTTACGATCCATTTGTCCCATGTTGGTAGTATGGGATGTTAATGTGAGGTATCCCACATCGGTAGAATGGGATGCTGTTGTGGGGTATATATGTGCTTGGGTTCCCTCCCTCTAACAGCTAGCTACAGTTAATATGTTTCTAGACGTTTCCTCCAGCAGCTGCCCATTTGAAGAAACAGTCCAATGACCTTGCTCTTAGTTGGCATCCTAGACGGCAGTTAGAGATATATTCTGGTGCATTGCATACCAGCAAAGATAGATATACACCATCAAATACCCATAAACCATGAACCTTATTTCTAAAACAAAGGTTTGTTTTTTGTGGTTCTATGCTTTTAGAACCATTAGACCTGCATCTGTATGTTAATCCATGTATAATAATGAACCAATCATCCAAAAATATTTATTTTTAAATTGGATAGAGTCAGTATGAATGTATAATGGGTTGGTATTACATTGAATATAAATACTTCATTTGAACGTTTTAGGTAGTATGCCAATACCAAACAGAATATTGCTGAGAACAGCTTTAGGGGCCTTAATTGCATGTTGGAGAGACCTATTCTGCTAATTCCTCTTAATATATGATTCTTTTCGGCCTTATCTAGGGTCCCAAGAAAATCTGTTAATAGGAGTCTGAACTTACGACAGAGAGAGACCTCATTGGTATGAATAAGCATAACGTGGCGTAGCTTTGACTTCATGAATGTATAGAACAGTGATTGATCAAAAAAAAGTATAGAACAGTGTGTCTGTCTAAATTTATGATGCAATGGTGGCATTTTCCTCCCAAAGTATTCAAGATCATGAGTTGGAATTTTCAGTAGTTTACAGATGCCAATGTTTCACAGCATTTCATTCTCTAATTTGCCTTTCTTATGCCATGTTAGTGATGGATGCCCGTGCAATCGAAGAAAATGGAAGCAATGAATCTGAAGAATCGAAGGGACTGATTCAGTGGGATCAGATTAAAGTGCCGGGACTTCATCCATCCATGTCCATGAGTGACCTGGTGAACCACATTGGGAATTGTATATCTGAACAGATGACATCTGGCAACCCGCTTTTCTCCAGTGAAGGATTGCAGAACAGGGATGTGCTCGAGGAGATTACACAATATCTACTTAGTGACTCGCAGTTTGCATCGGTCTCTGATGAGCAGTCCCACGCGAGAGTTAATTCTCAATCCCTCATGTCTAGAGTGAATTCTTTTTGCTGTCTGCTACAGAAGGATCCTGCCACAATYCAAAACAATCAGATTAATAGCGGACCTGATGATGGAAAAGATGGTCAAACTATTTCCGCCAACTCTACAAGTGAGAACAAGGTTCTGGGCGAAATAGCAGGGGGTAAAGGAGAGTCCACTGATGTCCCTGGCTCCAAGCAGCAGTCGACCATGTCAAGGAAGGATTCGGTTGGTGATCTGCTACTACTTAATCTCCCCCGCATCGCATCTCTACCACAGTTTTTGTTCCACATCTCAGAGGATGAAGAAAATCAAGCTAGATAATGTTCATCGACTCCTTCCTGGACTGAACTTCGTCATGTAAAAAAGTTCCCCTGCATTAGCATATATGCATGCTGTTTGTTGTTTTGGGATTCTGAAATTTAGTTTGATGATGAATCCTGATTCTTCCTCTTCAAGGAGGTTGTGGTTGGTCGTAGGCTTGTAGTTTTATCTAGCTTTGTTCCTGCATTGGCATGTATGATAAATCAGTGTTCCAATTGTAACCTCTGTGAATCAAACCTTCGAACTGTCACTCTAAATCCAACTGTCTGAAAATTCCATTTGTTGTTTACATCGCTGTTATAAATGATGCAAGTAATTATTTCCTTGAAAAGTTGAAATGTTTTTGCCAAATTGAGGCACAAACATATATCAACAGATATCTGAAATATCCGTAGAACGAATTACAATTTACAGCGTCGTGCACTAGGATGTATGTAACAAATTTACCCAACTGTAAGCCTTATCCCAACTTTTCTGTGGTTGGCCATTCAACAAATTTACTAGTACCAGTAGTTTTCTAATCAATATTAGTGGCTTAGTGCCTTCATCTATTCCTCCCCTCTCCAGCAATTCATCATCGGTTACACCCCGTTAAATTGCAAAAATTTGTTTATTAGTCAACAACCTATCGGYCCGAACGGTTACACTAACCYGTTCAACTTCAGCCCATTTCACATCATCGGGTATGACATCATAGGTCAACCGAAATGGTTGAACCTGCGGTTTATCCACCAGGAGGGAAAATTGGTTCAGCCTAAGGATTTCAATTATTACCAAAGCGGCTTCTTTTTTCAGATTTTGAGAGGGGAAAGTTGGTCAATGGGATTTTGGTTCCCAATGACCAAGAATCCCATATTCTTTTTTCATATTTATGTGGGGATCAAGGAAAATTTATTTTTCTGGGTATCACTTACCCGGGCAAGTGAAACCCATCTCCTAGATGGGTAAATAACTTTTTCATTTAGGGGGGAAATTGCCAACACTTGAATGGGGCAAAAATGCCCTTTTTAATAATAGATTTTTATGACAAATGGTTATTGCCTTGTTTACATGACAAATGGCTAGGATCAGACACTAGATTTCTACACTAACTCTAGCAGAGTAGAAACATTTCTGTATAAGCTTTCTTTCTCTATAAGCTTAATCAATTTCAGTTGATTAAGAGAGATTCCTCATTCCTGGTATCTGGATCTACAGCTTATGCACATCCCTGATAAAAGTAAAAAAGTGCAAGCAAATGTGGGAATGAGTGGACAGTCATTTGGGAGGTATCGACAAGGGTGCAAGGAATAGGAGTGACGCTATAAACACTCAGCATGAAAAATGTGGTCGTATGGCAAAATCGAAAGTTTTTAGCTTGACAGATGACCTGACAGTGCAGATTCAACATCTCTTTTGCATATGCCACATTTTCCCCTCTCGTTGAGGGGATTCTTCCAGAAAACCTGTGCAAATAACATTCACACAACGATCAACTGCTCCAATAATAATCCCGATCATACAACACTTCCAAAGTCATTTAGCATGCATTAGGTGATAGGCCCCAGAACTCCATGAATAGCAGTCTTCAACCTCTGGTTTGCATAATTATCTAATATCCAACTCAATAAAGTGCAAGGCTATCTTGGGTCTTGGGATGGATGGAATGGATACAAACCTAACCTCAAGCATGCTTTAGTATGAAAATGGCTGCTTTCTAAATTAAAGGAATTACACTTTGGCCTGAATCTGTCTTGCCAAACTTGGGCTGATGTCAAGCCTAAATCGGCAAAAATAAAAAGCTTTATAGCAATTAGTGCAGAGGAAACATCCTGCTCAGCCAGACCTGCTGCTTCAGCTGTTATCATTTGCTGAGGCAGATTGAGCTATAATACTATTTGTGACTGACTCAATGTAAAATCTCCCGAATATTCATGACAAATGCTCTTTAATGGATATGTCTGGACTGTCCATGCTGCAGAAATTAGGCCTTGAACTGATTGCTAATAATGTTCACACAATTCCTGTCAAATCTATCCGAAGGCCTCATGCCTCTCTGTGTGTATGCATCCATTTATTCATCCCACGTGCATGGATATATACATACATAGGCAACAATGATAATTTGCAAGGCAACCTAGAATAAGCCCATTTGTGTCGGTAGTTAAATTCCTCCAAATATCATGCCACCTGATTCACAGACGGCAAATAAAAGTTTTGAACTATTTTGATACACCTAACAACCTGATGGAGGCCTTTATTTGGATAATAACCAAATAATTCACTTGATTGTTAATATTGCAATATCACCCGACTTGGAACAATGTATCCAACCAAGGGCTGACCCAACTTTTATGGTCAAGATTGGTGACCATAAGTAACACATGAAAGAGAATACTTAGAAAAGGGATATTTCATGTGTATCGGGGTGTATCGGAGGTGTATTAGGACATATCGGTAGTATATCAATGTAAAACATACGGCCAAAAACTGAAAAAAAAGGGGGAAAGCAAGTTTCTTTTCCTTGAAATAAGCATTYTTTCACCCCCCAAATGACTCTAAAACTCCAAACCTCATTCATAGAGTGTTAGATTTGCAAAGATTTACAAGAAACAAGTGTGAATTGTTATTTTTTTTGAAGATTTTTCAAAATTTGAAAAAATATTGCAAAAAGAAGTAAATTTTTTTCAATTTTCTATAATATCTTGTGATTTCTTTTTTTCTTGAATGTATAAAATTATGCTGATCTACATTTCTTACATTCACAATCACAATTTTGTTGTGTTATCAATAGATTTATGGAAATTTCATGAAGATATTTAGGGAAAATCTAAATTAACAAAAAAATGAAAAATATATTTTTTTCTTTGCCTATAAATACTAAATATGCTTTAGATTTATGGATTTATTTATCATTTTATATTTTTAGAATTAAAAAATAAATAGTAATTAATAATATTTTATCATTTGATCACAACAATTGAAATATATTATAATTATATGGATGATCTATCATTTCCACATACCAATTGGAATTTCTTCTTTAATAATTATTTTTTTATTTTTTATTTTTAGAATTAAAAATAAATAAATAATTAATTATATTTTATCACTTGATCACAATGAGTGAATATATTATAATTTCATGGATGATCTATCATATCCACAAAGCAATTGGAATTTCTTCTTTAATAACTATTTTTTGAATATATTATATAATGTTTATTTATTTTTTATAATTTTTGAAAATAAATAATAAATAATTATTAATTATATTTTCACTTAAAAATTGTACCAATGCATGTTTTATGATTGGATAGGAGAGTTGGGTTTTTCTCATCCCATAAAACATTAAAACTTAAGAATTTTAATTTATAAATTATAGTTAAAGCATAGGATTTTTAAGGAAATTATAATTAACTACAATATGTTTCTTCATAAAACAATCAAAATATATTAATTTAATGTACATACACCTCATTAAGGTCTTATATTTAGTGTTGTTCATGTATTTTTATGATTTATTAAAGTATTTATAATGTTTCCAAGTGTATCATAGTTTTTCTTTGATACACATGTGTATCCAAGGTATATCCCGATTGGCTGATATGTCTCTTAAAATTGCCTTTCCGATTCACTTGACGTTTCCGATACTTTGAACCTTGCTAAGCACAATTTAAGTTGGGCAAATTTGTAAATTTTAGCTCATTGACAATCATGTGCTTCCACAGGCCGAATTGCACCTTGCAAGAAATGGGATCTAATCTTGCAGTGTATCTAAGATCCTTATTGATTCATTGATTATCTTATTAGGATAGCAAATGGGGACCTAGAATGTAAATCATTTTCATGCAAAGCTTTGAAAATTACATTAGATATTTCTCATATCAAGATTTCCGATTACAATTTGTCAATCTCATTCCTCAAACTTCAAATCATGCTGCATCAAACATCATAATTTTCTCATATGGAGGTTCAATGGGCACAAAATTGCTTCTCAAATAGTGAACCCTGATCAATAAGGTCATGCATTTTCACCGAGGATCATATTGCGGCTAATTACGTGTATCAAGCCAATAGTGCTCATAGCCTTGCAGTTATTGGTTGAGGAGAATGAAGAGGGTAYGAGTTGATAGTGTTCCATTAGTCTCCTTTGACATGTGGCCGTCTCCTGTCAAACATAAATATGAAGCCCAAAGATGCAACCATTCCGATAATATACCCAGCAATTGCTCCATAGCTGACAGAAATTGGCCATTCCTGCAAAGGATAATAACATTATTTGAATTTGAAAAGAGAAAGAACACCAGGCACTAAAGCTTGACAGGACCAATCCTGTCATTGACGACAAGCGTGGATAAGTCAATTTGGTAAACCAGCTATAATGTGAATGTCATTTAAGACTAGAAAAATTTTGAAGAGTCAGGACCCTAGAACTTAAAAAACATGCTATTTTTATGGAGTCTTGCTCATTTGTTGCAATGATGGCATAGTTTCTTTTTTATTTTGCTGGCAGTATGAAGAATCCATCTCAGTGATTAACTTCATGCCAGGAATACCCTAAAATTATGCAAATTGGGGTGCCACTAAGATGAAATCAACTAGTGCATGTTTAATTCAATTAGGACAAGTTTCAAAAAACAACATTTAACTTCGCAAACCAGGAATGTCTTGTGTCATTAAGTTCTCAATTTGTCCAGATGTATTGGTGATAAAGAAACATCAGAAATATAGGAAAGATATCTGCCATGTCTGTTTTATTATTTAACAGAAAGAAGTCCAAATTTTGCACAGTTTAATCTAAGATTTTTTTTTTTTTCAGAAAGAGGTGAGCTGGCTGTTTTATGGGGAATATATGGGAACTGGAAAGAGGTTCCAGGATTATTAAACATAGGCATCATCTAGAAAAGGGATTTTTGTTTTTTGTTTTTTTTATAAGTGACAAGAAATTTCATCAAGAAAGAACGACAAACCATGAGGTACAAAATAAGGCTCAAAGCAATAAGCACAAAACAAAGTTACAAACTGAAATTTCCCAAAAGCCCCAAACACCAACAAACGCAAAAACAAAGAAAAAAGCTTACAAATTACAAGCCGGCCCTGGGCATCCCCAATTCAAACTATCTCCACCTACTCCACTTCTTGCCAACAAATCAGCTAACGAATTAGCACTCCTTGGGAGCCAGTTGAATGAAGCATGCAAAGAGGCCTAAAAAGTGAGCTAATCTCACCAAATATCTGAACTGCCATGGGATCAAATCTTGAGAATTCATCCACTGAATGATTGTTTGACAGTTCCTATCTACTTCTACAGCTGTCAATCCCTGTTGCAAGCTCAACTTTAGTCCTTGAATTAAGGCCAATAATTCAGCTCTTAACGAATTTCCATACCCAACAGGACCAGAGTAAATCAGCATTAAATTACCTCTGGAATCCCTAACCACTCCACTACTCCAGATTCTCCAGGATTCCCTAAAAAGCCACCCATCAAAATTTATTTTGCACCTCCCTTCTCCTGGAACAGACCATTCCACTACTCATCGAGGCACCCTAGATTGAAAACCTGCTATTATATTCCATCATCTCAGCAAGTCCTTGATGCAAGCAAACACCATTAAATTCGTTGCATATTAAAGCCCAACACACAGTGTGAGTTCAACCATTTCTTCCACCCATTTGTGTTCTTGAGTAGGAATATTATTTATAAGTCCAGTCATTATAGCTTATAGGCTTTATGATGGATGTGTTAAAGGGATTTAACTTGATTCTTTTGTTTGTAATTGGTAATATGATATCTAGAGTATCAACGCTATTTCATGATTCATCTGGAAATGATACTTCATTGGTCCTCTTATTGAATTCCAGAGTTCCAATGGTTGTTCAGTTGGAAAACTGAGACAGGACATCTCCACTGCCCTTATCCATAGGGAATGCTGATATGTCTACAGAACTAACAGGACCATGGTGACTATTTCAGTCCAATAAACATACTTGTGTCTCGGTCTCCTGGGTTTTCCAGATATACTTCTATAGACATTGATTGAGGGCTATTAGCTCTTTTTGGCTTGATGTTTACAATATTGATGTGTTTTCCTCTCTTACCATTAATAGATGATCTTTTTCCTTCCGTGAACAAGAAGTTCCAGGTCATCCATCAGATAAGTTGGCCCTCCACATGTCCTGTGTCTGATTTCCACCCCATTCAAATCTGTTTCCTAAACAATTCAGTCTCCTGTATGCAACATTTAACAGGGTCGTCACTTCCAAGAAAATCGTATGTTAGTCAGCTATTATGATCAGAATCTCCATTCTACCCATGTCAGGCATGATATGTATCCTACACGACACCAGAAAGAGTGATGACACTTCTAAAGTACATTTTACCACATGGATACCTCTAAGATGTATTTACTGTATATTTTAACAAATCATAATATAATAAACTTGTATATGCTAAGTTGATAGAAAAATCTATACATGCTGAAAGTTTTGTTAAATTTAAATGGGTTCAACTATGATACTGGAAAGACATGACATCAGAAAAACTTACTGCCAATCAGCCAGTATCATATAAGAGGTGACCAATCTGGTGGTATTCATCAAAATTCATGGGGATGTTTTGATTGGTTAAAGCTCTTCCGGTACTATGTCTTTCTGGTATCATAGGTTTTCCCAATTTAAAAAGATGGTATTATCATATCATATGGAACACTTGTATCTATATCAGCGCCCTAGAGTCAAGAAATGGAGAGTTATTTTGCCTTATATATGTCCATGATTATACTTGTTTCTGAAATCCCTGATAGACATTGTTATAAAGGAGGCCCTTGCAAATGGACAAACAAAAATCAACATTTTTTAAGGTAAAACAAAAATTTTATTAAAAGAAAAAAGAGTACAAATGGTGATCACAGATCAACCAATACAGCGCTAAACAAAAAAGTACAACAGAACTCACAAAACCACCACCCCCCAACATGACTCAAACTCCTAAAACAAAGAAACATGTGTCCCAAACTATGTATAAATCTCTCTAATCTTGACATTAATGATTAGATTTGAAGTAAGTGTACCATCTTACACTCAGACAAGATTTTATCCATAATATAGAACAAAATTTTAGGCAAGGATTTAGTACCACCTTAAATAATCAGGTAAAATAGCAAATTAGCAATTACACATATTCTTCCAACTTTAATAAAGTGAGGAAAAAGTGAAGAAAAGGATAGAAGAAAGAAAAAGAAGATAGGAAGAGAAAGGGAAAGGGAAAGGAAAGAGAAGAATAGAGGAAAAGAGGGAAGACAAGAAAGGAGAAATCTGTTCTATTCTCTTTACTGTCGACCCAGGTTGTATTAACATTCTACTAAGACTGAAATGATTACAATACCCTTAGGAAAATTACAGCAGACATAAGAAAGAAAGAATAACATGAAAATGACAATACTGCCCCTGTTAACTACTTCTAACAATTCTAACACTCCCCCTCAAGCTGGAGCATATATATCATAAAGTTCCAGCTTGTTACAAATATAGTCCATTGTTGAGCGACCCACGCTTTTAGTAAAAATATCAGCTACTTGGTCTTCAAATTTAACATAGGGTGTAACAACCTCTCCACTTGTCACTTTCTCTCTCACAAAAAGGAAATCAACTTCGATGTGTTTAGTCCTTTCATGAAACACTAGATTAGAGGCAATATGTGTTGCAGCGTGGTTCACATAACAATTTAATGGGTTGACAAATTGTGATATTCATCTCTTGAAGAAGATGCTTCAACCAGACTAGCTCACAGGTAGCATGGGCCATTGCCCCGCATTCAGCTTCAGCGTTACTCCTAGCAACTACGTTCTACTTCTTGCTCTTCCAAGTAATGAGATGTCTGCACAAGAAAGTACAATAACCTGTAGTAGACTTCCTGTCCATCGGAGACCCTGCCCAATCTGCACCTAAGTACCCTACCAGAGACATATCTCCCCCTTTCTTATACAAAAGCCCTCGACCAGGAGCACCCTTTAGATACTTCAGTACCCTCATAACACCATCCCAATGAGCAGTTGTTGGATTTTGCATGAATTGACTGAGGACTCTAACACTAAAGGAGATGTCAGGCCAAGTGATGGTAAGATAGATCAACTTGCCTACTAGTCTCTGATACTTTATAGGGTCTTCTAATGGCTCCCCTTGACTATCAGTCATCTTCACATTGGGATCCATGGGAGTTTCAACTGACTTGGATCCTAACAACCCAGTTTCATCCAACATATCTAAAACATACTTTCTTTGTGGCAGAGAGATTCCCCACTTCGATCGAGCTACCTCAATTCCAAGAAAGAACTTCAAGGTTCCTAGATCTTTAGTTTGAAAGTGTTGCTGTAGGAACTGTTTCAACTCATCAATTCCATGTGTATCATTGCTAGTGAGAACAATATCATCAACGTACACTACTAGAATGATCTTCCCAGATGACGAGTCTCTACTAAACACAGAGTCATCAACATTGCATTGTTTCAAGCCAAAATCTTGCACCACACTACTAAAACGACCGAACCATGCCCGTGGTGATTGCTTCAGCCCAATCGACACACCTTTCCTGACTACCCCTGAGCAACATACCTAGGAGGTTGCTCCATATATACCTCTTGAAGATCACCATGGAGAAGCACATTTTTTACATCAAGCTAAAATACGGGCCATGCAAAGTGGGCAGCTAAAGAAATGAGCACTCGTACAAAACCTATTTTAGCCACAAGAAAAAAGGTTTTCCAATAGTCCACACCATAGGTCTGAGTATACCCCTTTGCAACAAGTCGAGCTTTAAACCACTCAATACTGCCATCTTGATGGTGTTTAACTATATATACCCATCGACAAGCAACGGCCTGGTTCCCAGGTGGTAAGGAAGTGAGATCCCAAGTWTTATTGGACTGAAGAGCATGAAATACTTCATCCATCACCTTCTTCCAGTTAGGAAATGAGAGGGCTTCCTATAGAGAACACAATAGAGAAACAGAGGATAGAAGGGAAATAAAACGTTGATGTGAAGGAGACAAGTGAGCAAAGGAGACATACCGAGAAAGGGAGTGATCTGTGCAAGTACGCTTACCTTTACGATGGGCAATAGGAAAATCAAGATCTGCGGATGGTGGATTTATCAACAGCAAAGACTCTGGTGGCATGTCAGAAGCTGGAGCTGGATCAACTACTGGTGACAATTCTAGTTGTCTATCACGTCTAGAGTACACTCTGTGAATAAATGGTTGAATAGGCTCTTTCATAGTAGGCAAGGGAATAAAGACATCACCAGATTCAAAGGGAAGAGGAATAGAAGGAGAAGGTTCAYGTCCAAAGAAATAAAGGTAAACTCTCAAAGAAGGTAACATCCGGAGCAACAAAAGCTTTCCGTAAAATAGGGTCATAGCATTTGTAACCTTTCTGAGCATGAGATTAACCAAGAAAAACACATCTAATAGCTCCGGAGTCAAGTTTATCATGGCCTGGACCCAATTTGTGAACAAAACACACACAACCAAACACACGAGGAAGAGAGAAAGGTGAGGTGGAAGGAAAAAAGATAGAGAAAGGTGACTTGCCATCTAGGATTGAAAAGGCATACAGTTTATGAGAAAACAAGAGGTGAGAACTACATCACTCTAATATATTTTAGGAACTGCCATTTGAATCAACAAGGTCCGAGCAATTTTAATCACATGGCGATTTTTTCTCTTAGCTACACCATTTTGCTGAGTGTGTGAACATGAGGACTGATGTATAATACCATGAGAGTCAAAATAAGACTGAAAATTATTATGAAAGTATTCATTGGCATTATCTGAACGAAACACTTTAATGCATACACCAAACTAATTCTTTATCTTAGCATGAAAAGATAGAAAAATAGAGAACAATTCTGAATGATCCTCATTAAGTAAATCCATGTCATTCTTGAATAGTCATCAATAAATGTTACAAAATATCTGAATCCATTATAAGATGACACACAACTAGGACCCCAAACACCTGAGTGGACTAAAGCAAAAGGACTTAGGAATCTCTTATCATCCCTAGGAACAAAAGACACTATGATGTTTACTTAACTAACATGAATCACAATCTAGTTGAGAAGGATGACTAAGACGACAATGCCATTGATGTGGTGTAAGAGAGGAATGAAGAGCCTTCTAAGGACCATGGTCATCCAAGTAGACAGTCCTCCAACTTCACAACCACCACCAATCGTCTTCCCCGCCGTCTTGAGATCCTAAAAGACAAAATATGAAGGTTAAATGTTACTGAACAATGACGGGTTTGAGTAAGCTTACTTATAGACAAGAAACTAAAGGGAAATTTAGAACATAAAAAACCGAGTGTAAACTAAGGTTAGAACCAAGAGACACATTACCGGTACCAGTAATAGTAGAAGAAGAACCATCAGCTAAGGTAACAATTTGAGAAGTAGACGGTGGTGACAAGGATACAAACATATTTGAGGAGCCATTCATGTGGTCTGAAGCTCTAGAATCAATTACCCAAGGTGAAGGTGAAGAACTAAAAGCAAGACAAATAGTATCTAACTTCACAAGTGTAGCAGTGGCAGAACTAGAAGAGGTAGACTGGCGAAGATTTTCATACTCCTCACGTGAGATAGAAATTGTCTTTATCCTTACCAACCTTGGAAGTAGGAGCAATTCCAACCACACTAAAACTCCCAAAATCACCTTCCACCATTGCTTGGTTAGCCCAGGAGGATGGAGGGCCATCAAGATCATAACAAAAGTTGACTGTGTGACCTTCCCGTCCACAATGTGAGCAATCACAGGCTGACCCACGGCCACTATCACTATGACGACCACCACCCCTTGCACCACCAAACTCTCTACCACCTCCTTGTGCACCTCTGGGCCCACGGCCAAAACCCCTCACATTTCCTCCACCTCTACCACGCATATGTCTACTAGGAAAACCTCCTCTGGAAACCACCATGGCTGATCTCTCTAAAGGTGGGGGATGATCACTATGTGGATTTGAGGCTCTCCTTATGCGAGAGAAAACCTCAGACAAGGATAGGAGATCACTGCTCCCTAAGATTTGGGTCTGCACTGGTTCAAGTTCAGACCTCAACCTAGATAAAAATCTTGCTACATCTAGATGTTCTCGTTGTTCTTGTTGAGTCTTCAAATCAGTGAATAGGGGTTGATAAACATTGAGCTTATTCCTTAATCTTTTTAGAGAAGTATTGTATTCTTCAACACTTATATCTCCTTGTTGAAGAAAAAATAATCTTGGTACAACTGGTAAATTCTTGTGACATTGTCTTGTCCAGAGTACAATTGCTTGGCATGGCCCCAAATCTCCTTGGTCATGTCTAGAAACATAAGGTTTATACTAATGTGATTCTCCATACTATTCCAAAGTGATGTCATAATTTGGGCATTCTCTTGTACCCATTCATTGTACCCTTCTGATTCACTTTTCAATGGACCCTCCTTGATGTACTTCAGCTTGCCTCTTGCAATGAGAGATACCTCAACCAACTTGGCCCATGGGACATAATTAGTACCATTGAGTTTCATCGTAGTTAATTGAGAAGTCACGAAATCTGATTGCACAACTACTGTAGGTTTAGCCATTTGATGAAGCCATGAGTGAGAGGAGATCACTGATTTGTTACCTAGGCAAATTGTCAAACAGCTAGTATGCAACTCCTGTAACACACCTTTCTCTTTAGGAAAAACGCTAAGAATCATCAACCCTCTACTTTAGAAACACTTGAGAAAGATTGCATACTTACCAAAAGGTGTTACCACAACACAAACCACTACAAATCACCACACATTGAGGAGCACCTACCTCACAACTCAAAACATCACAAAGCTGCCCTCTTCGAATTACTGAATAGAGGGCTTTTAGAAAAACAGCAACTCACACAACACTGCAACTTGAGGCATTAAAGCCTCTTTTCCAAGTAGGCGATCAGCCCCCTTAAGTCATTTTCCTTTCCAACAAGAATAGAGAATATTCTCTATTCTTAGGGCACAATAAGTTGGGAGGTGAACAGTGCCGCGAACAGTACAGTTGACCTCAAGGCTCTGATACCATGTTCCAACTTTAATAAAGTGAGGAAAAAGTGAAGAAAAGGATAGAARAAAATAAAGAGAAGAAGATAAGAAGAGAAAGGGAAGGGAAAGAGAAGAATAGGAGAAGAAAAGAGGGAAGACAAGAAAGGAGAAATCTGTTCTATTCTCCTTCTGTCGAACCAGGTTGTATTAACATTCTACTAAGGCTGAAATGGTTACAACACCCTTAGGAAAATTACAGCAGATATAAGAGAGAAAGAATAACATGAAAATGACAATACTGCCCCTGTTAACCACTTCTAACAATTCTGACACATATAAATGGATTTGAGAACATGCATATTATTGGTGATGTTAACCCAACTGATATTGAAGAGGAAAAGTAGGAATTCAAACAAAATAACAAATAAATGTCATAAATTCTAATTAAATTAGGAGCAAGAAAATCTTACCTGCCATGGCCTTTCCCAATCAAGGGGCATAGGCCAAGCCCCAAGCCAAGCTCCAATAACAGTCCCATGAGCTGGTAGACAAATCATGTAATCAACAATGCCAGCTGGCCTGAGAAAATTTATATGTAATCCATCATAAATAGCACATAGTAGACAAAAATTGAGAATTATGATTGCATAACATCCTTGTACAAATTTGCATTTGAAACTAGGTTACTTGACAATTGACATTTAGAGTGCAAAACCTTGTATTTTGTATGTAGAGTGCAAAACCTTGTATTTTGTATTATTTTATATGTTTTTGCACTGTACATATTTGCATTTTGTACTCCTTCCAAACTGAGCATTATGATTTTGCACATGGAAATAGGTAAAACTTCATAAACCGAAATGCTTACTTGGCATATACAAACAGGCGCTGCCAATTGTTCCATGATGAACCAAAAACAGAAGCTGCAGGTGCAAACTGCAAAAATACAGACAGGTTAGTTATCTACTTCAGTAACCAATGTAATAAAGATATAGCATGTTAGACATGAAAAACAGAGAACACAATCTGGAGGTATTTCTACTACATATTCATGAATAATTTAGAAAATTGTAGGGTGAACTTAAGTTCATAAGCACATTCATAATTGCAATAGTAATCAAGGCAATTTCTAGGTGTCAAGGGGGAAGGCTGTTTGGGAAAAACAACCTGGGCTGTTTTGAAGTTTCGTGTGCGTGACACATTAGCATGGATGTGGGTTAAAAGAGCAATTGCAATCAATATTCTTTTAATTAAAAAGACAAATAAAGAACTAATGGGGTAATGTGTCATGTGCAGGAAGCTTCAAAACAGCTCAGGCTGTTTTTCCCAAACAGCCAAGCTTTTCTTTCCCATGGGGGATCATCTTACCCAAGCACCAAGTTGTTTTGGTACAAGGTTAGTTATTTGTTCAAGTTTGATCAGCATACAAGTCAATGGATTGCTACCAAAAAAAAGGTCAATGGATTGTCTTGAATCCTTGAAGACTTCAAAACCTGAACCAATAAGCAAAGAAGAACTTGAAGTTCAAGATTTCACCAAATCAACACATAATAGCAGAAAAGGCATGTTTTCTTTTCTTTATTGTTCTTCTCGTGCATATGTTGATGTTCTATGTTTTGATATGGGGCTATACTTATTTCACAAGGATTATTGACAATTATTAGCGAAAGATGACTGCTGGTTGCCATGAAACCAGGGACTATGACTACCCTGGGATTTATATTTTTGTTAAAAAAGGAGTTAAGCAGAAGCCCAAGCCCCTAACCAAGGTTCAAAGTATCGATACGATACGTGTTTCGGCCGTATCGTATCGGCACTTATAAACGGCCGAAACTCTATTTTTTTTTAGTTTTTTTTTTTCAAATTTTGGTTTTTGGGAAGCTTTTAGCATGCTTTTTATTATTAAAAAAATTGGGGGTCTGAAACACCTAGAAACAGGCATTTCGGACCGTATCATTTTCAAAAGATACGATACAATACACCCAATACGAGGCATATCGTATCGATACTTTGAACCATGTCCCTAACTACAAGAYCCCCCATTGCCTAGCTTTGCCTTGGTACCTTGAAAAATATGATAACTTCAATCACACATCCACAGGCACACACACACAAATTTCTATAACTCACAGTTATAGCTAGAAGAATAGAAAACTACAAGAAGGATATGAACTTGAGAATTGAGAAGTTTTACTTCATACGCACTTGTCTGCCCCATATCATTTATCCCTAATTGCTGATCTATGGGTTTTGAGCTCTTGGCCTCTCCTTTTTGTGTAGGCAGGGAATTGCACCCTTGTTAGGTTTTTATATAAAAGCTTTTGGATGGGATTCTTTGTAACCTTTCCGTGGAGGATATGCTTTAAAGAGGTGGGGTGCTGCCTTGGAGAGTTCTTAATTTTTGTTTGAAATCGCTGGTTCCTCCTTGTATGCAGATTCTATATATATGGTGAATTGTTACACTCAATGTTGGTTCCAGCATTTCTTGCAAAAACTTGCAGCTCTCAGACTCAAACCAAACTCTCACACTAGTCACCCCAAGATTTTACCATATGGTGAATTGTTATCTATCAGTAAATAAAAAGTCTAGAAGGGGCAACTTCTTATTCATTGTATGTAAAGCCAGTATCTGAGGCTTTTGCGGATCTCAATTTTTGTGTTTAAATGTAAGGGAGTTTTCATTCACTCCAGAAAATATCCAAGATCATTTATTTTACACGTAAGGGGAATTGTTCTTCACTGCAGGAAATATCCAAGATCAACCCATAAGATTAAATACAAGTTCAATGGCTCTCTTTTACTCACTTGGGTCACTAAAACAATAAGGTATTCAATCAAGATCATAAAGAGGAAGACAAGGGTTTGGTGCTCACAGTGAACAAGGACATGAGCAGGGACCAGCTAATGGTTCTCTTTATATACCTGTCTCCATCAAAAAATGAAGTACAAAGAACGTTTAGCAGAGTTGAATACAAGAGCATCTTCTAAGAGATTATCCATAAATATCTCCCAGTGGTTGTATTATTTCTAGCAATTTTGTATGGGTGCATATAAACATCACTCACAGAAATCCAATAGGTGCCCCCAAAACAATAGCTCCAAAAGCATTTAGAAATGCCCCTACAAGAACAGAAGTTATACAAGTTATTCTGCAGAAAATATGAAGCACTAAGAAATAGCAAGCACTTCATAAATTAAAAGTGCATAAAACATGTGAAAGTTTAAAAATATTACTAGAAAGAAGTGTATCAATAAAGGGAAAAAATGACTCAACAAAAAGAATAAGAAACCTTCAATTGATTACAGTGGAATTTATCACAACTTAACCTATGGCAAAAGCAGATCTTGGGGGCCATATAACAGTATTGAGTGTCAAACTGTGTTTGGCCACATCAAAGTCCTTTATGGTTATGGGTGAAGTGTTTTTAGCTAATGGACAAATAGCAGTAAGCACAAAATGTTGGGACTACTTAACTATCCATCTCCAAGAACAGCTATCTGCTTTTGCAACTACTTACTTTAAAGGTTAACTGCAATCAAACTCCCAAGCAACTGACTTGTAAACCAGATCATTGATAATCATTTTAAATATAGTGTCCGGAAATATTTGAACAAATTTTCTGAATAATCAAATTGCCCCTCTAACTTAAGACCCAAATACCCAATATTAGGGGAGAAAATGGAAAGTACCAATCGAGAATCAACTGCTTATGTTCTTAGCCCATAAGCCASAAGTGTAGATTCAACTGGGTCAAACACTACCAAAGTATAATGCACACCATCCTTTTGTCTGATCACATCGTAATTCTGTCGAATGGTTAAAAGGCAGAGTTGTCTACCATTTTGTGTAAGTTTAAAACTAGTTTCCAAAATGTAGAACACAAGAACCAATTCAAGCATTAAATATATTACTAATCAAATTTCACAAGGAAACTCTCAAAGGTTAAACTATTAGAACTTAGAATGCATACTCACCAGCTGGAATTCCTAGTAAGCCATGTCCAACCGCCTTCAAGAACTGTTAACAATTATCAAAACCCTAATAAATTATCAAATATTAGACATATAGAACAGATCAAAGCCACAAATTAAAACTAAGAACAGGAGATCAGAAAGTTACCGAGCATTGCTTGGGATTCCATCGTGAGATACTGTAAACTCCAATTATTATTGGTGTCTCGATAACCTACCAAAATATTTATATCAACAAAAAACAACGAATTAGATTTTTTTCGGAAGCATAGCCAGTCTCCATTAAAATTGGTATGCTTAATGTACCCAGATGAGAAATAGGGTCTGATCAGGGTTAGAAATGAGATCAATAGAATAGATGTTGTGGGCAACCCAGAATGCTACTGCTAACCCTAACCCACAGATCAAATGCAACCGAAATGCTTCCCAAATTGACACCGGTACTGAGACATTTTGGTCACTGGAAGCTTCAGCAGTTGTCTTCTCCATTCTTTCTATTGAACTACCAGATCTTACAACTCACAAGTTGTGTCTTGTCATTAATCTTTATGTCAGTAGGCCGAATTTAAATATTTGAGGCCCAAAATGTGTTTGTCTAGTTTGGGCTTGAAGCATTCAATTAATAGGCTCCCAATGAACGGTTCTCAAAGCCAACAGATAGATTTTGTCTTGGGCTCGGGCATACAGCATCCGTTTAATCTGTCCCACCTAAGAGAGGGCCTGGACAGAAAATCAGCAATGGCAACTACTTTCAGCAATGCAATTTCAGGGATTATGATGACGATCACAAAAACAATAACAATAATAATAATAACACTAACAACATCAACAACAATAATAACAATAAGTTCATGATCCTTATCAAAACCTTCTTTTAGTTATAAATAAAAAAGAAAATTTATTGAAAATGAGAGAAGGCACAAGAAAGTGACAAGATATCACCCACAAGGAAAAGTACTTAAAACCGAAAAATCCAAATCCCTTCAAGCCCCTTGAAGTACCAAAAAAAATTTCCTTTCCCTTAGCCCTTAAATATCACAGCACATTTGCTATCAAAATCCAATCCTCCTCAAAGGACCCAAAGCTTGCTCCCTAACACATCCATACACCCTAACAATAACCTCTACTAATCAACACTATGCAATAGAATTTTCCTCACTCGTTGGAAACTTCATTCCCATAACATTTTTCTTCTAAAATCTTGACAAGAAATCGAAGCATGGTGATACAAGAACTTTGTGATTCAGCACTACTCTTGAAACTAAACTCAAGTTGTAGATGTGTAGAACCGAAAATAAATATCAAATAGGAAGAAGAGAAGAGAATGTCTAGGCAATCACACCTTAGGGTAAGGTGTACAAAAAGAGGTACAATAATGCCTTACCCAAAAATTGCCTTTCAAAGAAGTCTGGGCGTGACCTATTCCCCCAAAAATTGTTGTATTCTGCTGGGAAGTCTTCTATGGGAAAATCAATACTTTGGAAAACTTACAGAAAAAGAGACCCTCTCTTTGTCTTTCCCCAAATTGGTACTCCTTGTGTAAGGCCGAGAATGAGGACTGTATRCATTTGCTGATCTCTTGTTCCTTTGCTACAGCTATATGGAGTTGGAGCCTTTGTTTATTTGGAGGTAGGTGGTCTATGCCTTCTAATTTAAGCTCGTTATTCAACCCATATGTTTTTGTTTGGCACACTAGAAGAGGTAAGGCCATGTGGAAATGTGTCAGGGCAGCCACTTTGTGGACACTTTGGGAGGAAAGGAATGCAAGAATTTTCTTAGAGAAGGAAAGAGGATTAGATAAAGTGAAGGACTGCATCCTAACAAGAGCAATCCATTGGCTGAAAACCGTGGATATTTTTGATGACTTGTGGAGGAATTGGCTAGTAATAGCTAATACTTCAACAAAGAAGAATAGAATTTATTCATAAAAAAAAAGAAGAATAGAATTCTGTCAGAATGGGTTTCGCCTTTGGAAGGTCTCATCAAGCTGAACTTTGATGGAAGCAGCCAAGGCAACCCCGAGCCTTCAGGAATAGGGCGTATCCTGAGAAATAAGGACAGCAACATAATTTCCTTACTCACAGGACCGGTGGGAGTGGGGGACTCCACAAGGGCAGAAGTCCTTGCTGCAGTACAAGGAATTCAGATCACTAACCAGCTTGGGGTGGAGCATCTCCTAATTGAAGGGGACTCTCAGGTGGTAACAAGGTGGCTTCTAAACCCGGATACCACCATTTGGGGCTACAAAGATCTCATCAAAAAAGTAAAGTGGTTAACCAGCAATATGAGAGTTGAGGTAAAATGGGTTAGTAGGTCTGCTAATTCTATGGCTGATGCTTTAGCCAAACAGGGGGTTTCTAGGGAAGATCTTTTTTGTGCTTCTTTGTAAGTTATTATTAATCTGGAAATCTGTACTTAACTAGCCCGAAGAGGTTGCAACTCGTGCCTTTCCTTGGGGACTTTGTACTATTGTATATTGCTGATTAATAAAATTATTTCAATTATAAAAAAAATGCCTTGCCCATTCTTTCATGCTAACCTTTCTTGGACTTGGAAGCTATCTTCTCCAATAATTTACACAAAGTCTTATTAAAGGCTTCTGCTAATCCATTAGCAGTTGCATTGTCCATGGTTGAGCACCTTTGTTTGATTCCATATTTTATGCAGAACTGATCCATCAAATGGTTACTGAATGGCTTCCCATTGTTGGTCACATTGTAAAGTGGAATGCCTTACCTATAGACAATATTTGTCTTGATGAACTCCACCACTGTTTTTTTCTTTACTTTCTTACGCGGAACAAACCCCTTCCCACTTTGAGAAGTAATCTGTCGCAGCAAGAATGAAAAGATTCCCTTTAGAAGTTTTAGGAAGAAGACCAACTACATCAACTCCCCATCTGTCAAAAGGCCAAGAAGCAATAGTTAGATGTAATGGCTCAGGTGGTTTGCCATCCATGGAACTAACAAGTCTGGCAATGTTTAGCATATTCTAAGGAGTCTTTCACCATGGTAAGCCAATAAAAGCCCATCCTTTTTATGCATTCATGGAGTTTAGGTCCTAACTCATATGCTCTGCATACCCCAGAATGGGTCTGCTCAAGAGCTTTTCAAATCTCATCTCCAAGACACCTCATATAGACACCATTAAACAAGTGACAATAAAGTGTGTTGTTGAAGTACAAAAAACATAGTGTTTTGTACCATATCTCTGTCTTGTGTTTAAGATCCTCCGGAAGTTGCTTCCAATCCTCAGTTTCAGTGGCATAATACAAAGACAACATCACTTTCTTCCTCTTCCTCTAGTAATAAATGGGGAATGACCCACTTTTCACATATTGGCTATGTTGTTTTCTCTTCTTTGGCTAATGTAAGTACTGCAACAAGGTTAGGTAGAGCATCAGCTTGTTTATTTTCACTACGAGGGACATGCTCAATAGTGAAACCATCGAATTTGCTTTAGCAGTTGGGTTGCATATTGATGACATGGCATCAGATCAAGCTTCTGCACTTCATGTTYTGTTAAGAGTTAATTAATAACCAACTTCGAACCTCCACAGATGGTAAGTTGGCGAATTTGCATTTCTATTGCCATCTTTAGGCCAATAATGAGAGCTTAACACTCCACAATGTTATTGGCACAAAGTTGGGTAAAGGCACAAGAAAATGGCAAGACTTCTCTTTGAGGGCTCACAAACATTACTCCTGCCCCTACACCATCCTTCTGAGCTGCTCCATCAAAGAACATCATCCATGTTGTCATTATGTCAACATAGAAGACCTCTTCATCTAGCAATTCCTCAAAGAATTCCCAGTTGGCTGGAATTGGGTGGTCTGCAAGAAAGTAGGCTAGAGCTTGACCTTTCACTGCCTTTTGTGGTATGCAGACAATCTCAAACTCTAAGAGTAGAAGAGCTCATTTAGCTAGTCTCCCAGAAAGAACAGACCTTGTCTTGTGGTACTTGAGGGGGTTAGCTCATAGATCAAATGTATGGTGTGTGCCAACATGTAATGATGGAACTTCTTTGTGGCAAAGATTAAGGCAAGACATGTCTTCTCAATGGGTGAATAGTTTAATTCAGCACCCACTAAGGTTCAACTTAAGTAATACAGTGCATTTTCCTTGCCAGCATCATTTACTTGTGCAAGGAGAGCTCCCAAAGAATGTTCTTGTGCTGAAATATAGAAGATAAGTGGCTTCCCTGGGATTGGAGCTGCCAACACACGGGGCTCGAGAAATACTTGTGAGTGTCAGGCTCACTTGGGCTGAATTGGAGTCACCACCCATCATTTGAAGGAAATGAAGGTGATGGGACCTCCAAGAATGACTTTCAAAAATAATTTTGTTTGATAGTGACTCCAAATCCAAGGAACTGGTTAAATTAGTTTGGGTAAGACTCGGATAGGAAAGGGAAGGGATTAGGCACCCCTCTCCCAGGTCTGATAGGTGGGGCCCATATGGGACCCAAACAAACATGAGCATAAAAATACGCAATTCTTTAATTAACTAAAGACATCAATAATAAAGAAAGCAAAACAAGCCAAGAACAAACCAACACAAGAGAATGAACCCTATTTATATTTTATTTATTTCTTTATTTCTTTATTTTTATTATTTTTTACTTTCTTTTTTTTAATTTAATTTTATCAGTTATTTATTTTGATTATTTGTTTTATGGGAACAGCAATTTATTTATCCTATGGTTTTCATCCTATGTTTTTTATTACTATTCTCATTTTTTTATCATTACTACTATTCATTTATTTTTTATTTTTTTCTTCTTCTTCTTATTTTTTTTTGTATTGTTGTTTTACTTTTCTATTTTATTATTCTTTATTCTTTTTATTTTTTACATTTTTTATTTCATTTTTAATGTTTCCTCTTTGATAGCTTATTCTCCCCTTCTATCACCTAAATATGGCGGAATCTATTGAACTAGCCACCCATTTCGTCCATTTTTGCTCAATTTATTCATTATTTTGTTTTTCATTCAGTTTTTAGATTGGATTAATTTGTCCTCCTCGGCCAATCACCCTTCTCATTCCCGTTCTGTACATCAAAGACCATCTCCATTCCAGTATCTATTCCTGGTTGTCATATTCTATTTTTTCCCCTTTGTTTTGTTATTTTTCCTTGTAATTTTTTTTTTATTTTCTTATTTTTAGCTATGACAATCATCATTGATTAGGTAGGCTTCCTCAGGGCAACAAAAATAACAGGATGTCCGAAATCCCTCATCACAGTATCGTGAATCTAAATCAAACAGACAACCCAATTCTAATGTATCAATTCGGCTGGGATGAAGCATCACCAAAACAACATACTTAACCTAATATCTAAACAGCGATTAACAAAACACATCAAGTCTCACCCTCAGATAAACAAAACAAACATAACAATCCACCGTAATGAAACGGTTAAAAGGAAAAGATGCAATATGTTACGTGACTTACTAACTACAGGATTCGGCCTTCAGTGATCGATAAAACATAAACATAATGAAACGAATAGCATTATAATCAACAATATCTTCAGATAGAAAATCACAACTGAAAAAAACATAGAGAACACTAATCTTCTCTCTGGATAGCTAAATAAATAAATAATCAGAGCAGCAGGAGGAAGCCAAGTCCAATCTGGGTAGGTTCCAAGGACTTCACGGAAGCCAGTTCGGCAGAGGCTTCATCGCCGGCTCTGACGACCACCCAGATGATCGCTATCCCATAGAAAAACGAGAGAAAAAAATCAAAAGATACAAGAGAAAGGAAGGAGGATTACGATGGGAGAAGAACTTATGAATTTAGCGTGAGATTGGACGCTGCAACAGAGGAACCGAGAGTGTATCGTTCCGAGTTTCCTTCTTCGAACGGCAATAATGACTGATATCTGTAACCAGAAGCTTAGTAAGAAGAAATGATCGTCTGGGTGGGGATTTTGCCGAAGACCGAGAAGGGAAGGGATCCAATTGACAGTTTACCGTGCTAGAAATGGATGAAAATGAGGGAAGGGTGCCGTCACCGCAACTCCTCTGTTCTAGTCAAGAAGACGATGAACAGTAGCCGGAGGTCACTAAGAGAGAAAAGGATGACGGGGATGTGTAAGAGAGAATTAGAGAGAGAAGAACGAGAGGGGAGAGATAGAGAAAGGAGTTTCACCGCCGCCTCTCTGTCCTCGTCGCAAGAGGAAGGGGTAGGAATGGCAATTTCGCGAGAATTTTCGGGTATCCGACCAGACCCGATTATCAAAACCCTAGGTTGAATTCGAGACGAATTTAGGATATTAGATTAAAACCTAGGGGAGGAATTGCATGGGCAAAAGATGATGGTAAGTGACTTATCAAAAGTAAATTATTATATAGTGAAAAATTTGTAAAAGTAAAATAAAATAATATCTATTTAAAATAAATAAAAATTTATGGATAATAATATATTTAATTTAATAAAATAAAATAAATAATAATTAAATAATTTGTTAGATTATTAAATTATTAACTAATTAAATAATTTAGTAAAATAAGTAAATAAATAAGTAAATAAATAAGTAAAACTTCATGCATTATCAATATAAAATTGGTAAAGACTGTCTCAAATTATTTAATTAATTAATTTAGTGTTGTTAATGGGTTGGACTGAACTATTGGGCTACCGAGCCCTTGAATAGGTATATTCAGGAGCCTAACCTAAGACTTGGCCCACGTATCAACCTAGCCTACAGCATGGCATGGGCCCATGCGGGTTTGGGCTAAGCCGTAGCCCAGTCTAACCTAAGACTTGGCCCGTGAACCAGCTCGATCCGTAGCACGACACAATGGGCTCGATCGTATATTATATACAACAATTATATAATATATTAATATATAATTTTATTTTCAATTTTATTAGTGCATATATAAATAACTGTACATATCAAAATTCATATAGAATAAAATTTTAAGATTTTTTTCAAATTTTTATCTATTTTTTTAATTATAAAAACACGGTTTAATCTGATTTATAACCCGATAATAATTATATGAGAAATTACTTAAACTACCCTTAAAATTTAAGAAATTGACTAACTTTACTCCTACCGTTGACTATTATCTAATACTACCCCTACTGTTTCAGAAAACTATCATTGTCGGTAAAATATTAATGAAAGGGCTAAAATATCGGTTTTGCCCTTAAATCAAATTGGAAGTCCCGTTCTACATCTTCCCTATTATAGTCTTCCCCTCCTAGGTCCAGTTTGATTTCAATGATCAAAATCACCGCCACCACTGCAACTTCAAGCAATGGCGGTGATCTTCCTCACCCATCACCCAAAAACGTTGGAAGAGTTGCCGCCGACGGCACTGGGCAAGATCATTTCGGTCTGAGCAGGATCATCTGACCCCGCCATGAATCTCATTGTCGGACGATCTCTACCCGTCTCCACGAAGAGATGGCCGCCGATCTGTTTCAAGTCAAACCAGGGGCGCGRCGCTTTGTACCCTACCCGTTTTCTCTCGATTTGCTCCGTCGCTTTGTACCCTCCCAATCTTGACGCAGAGCAGCGACAAATCTGATACTAATTAACTTCTGCTGCTAACACCCGTTGAACAGGTTGTGCAATGCCAGATGTTAGCAGAAAATTAATATTTAGTACTTAGTAAATAGGCCAGTGCGGCATAGTAGGCTAGTAGCCAAGGTTGCATACTAAACGGTACCAAGCTGATCATCTCACCAATGTTCAGGTGGCGCAAGACAAATCTCTTCCACCGGAAGAGGGTGGGGTTTTGGGATGCCTTATGAGCTTCACTATGGTCGAGCCAGTTTTTTATGGGCGGCCTTGTTCATAAACAACCATCTTGGGGAAGAAGTAATTCAGGCTGTGTTGGCCGGTGGACGATCTGGGCCTGGGGCATCCGATAACATAGCTTGCACATTGATGTATAGATGGCACGGCACTAGTTACTGGGGTGCAGCCCATGGCCTGGCTGGGATCCTTCACGTGCTGCTCCACTTTCCTCTCTCTGGGCAAGACGTACGCTAAGGATGTTAAGGACACATTCAGGTACATGATGAAGAACAGATTCCCCCCACACCCGCAATTACCCATCCGATGAAGGCAACGCAAGGGACAAGTTGGTGCAGTGGTCACATGGTGCCACCGGCATGGCCATCACCCTGTGCAACGCAGCTCATAAGGTCATAACCCCCAACCCTGTCTAATCTGAGAGTCGAATTTGATCAACAAAACAAATAATGCTTGGATTGGACTTAGAAATAATTACATCAATAAATTTTTAAAATTAATTGATAACAAATTAAAATTCATAAACAAATATTTCACCTAGAAATATTGCTTGGATTGGACTTAAACTTGTCCAAACCAATTGACTCTTAACTTGAATTTAGACAAATAGATACGAATTGTATTTTATAATCTTAAATCTTAATTATATTAATTTAAAATCCATTTAAAATTTAATAGTAATTATGTCATTGGAATTTTAAAATTAACTAATAAAATTTTAAATTTTATCCAACACCACACTAATTAGCACTGCTTCTGAATTTAACTCAATCCATATACTGGTTACCAAGCTCAACATATACTAGCAAACCATTAGGAAGGGCCTACACTTTCACCTAGCAAACCATTTAGAGGGTTTTAAATAAATACCCCCAATAACTATAAACAATTAGTTAGGAATATTTATGTATTTTGGCTTTGGGGAGAAAAATGATAATAATGCCCCTAATGACTATATAACAACTAGTATGGGGGATTTGGATAAAGTGATAATTAGATTTATAATGATCAAAATACCCTTCCCAACAACTAAAAAACAGCTATTTTCAGGGTATTTTAGGTAATTGAATTATTTCCATTTCCTATAAATACCCTATCTTCTACCATTCTCATTACATCAATTCTCATATTCTCTTATACACACTCTCATACTCTATCTACTCTCCAAATATCAACTTTGTTTAGTTTCAACAAGAAATCTTGCTTAAGCATCTCAAGTTAGCAATTTGGAAAGCTTGGAAACTTCAACAGTTGAAATCAAGTTAAGATTTTGAATTGGTAGTCCAAGTAAGTTGCAATTAAATTAATTTTTATTTTTTAGTTTTCAAAAAAAAAAAGGCCGGCTCCTCTCAAAGTCAATTTCCTAACATGTTCAATGCCGACGATGTTCAGTCACAATATGATAGTATCAGCACTGATATGGATGTTACTGATATTGCTAGAGTTCCTACCCCTAGTACCGTTACTAGGAGAAAGAAAAAGAAGGGAAATAAGTTGACTAGCTCAATTTGGAAATTATTTAGCAAAGAAGAGGTTGAAGGAAAGGGAAAAGAGTTGTTTGCCGTAAATGTAAGCAAGAAGTGTAGCATTTGGTGGAGATGAAAGGATATATGGAGCAATCAAAGGGAGCTGAACAAAATATCATACTATAGAAAACAAACTTGAAAAAATAATGATGTGTCCTTTGGGGCACCCTTGCTATGAATTCTTTGACCCACTCCTCTATACATTTTTTTTAAAGAAAAGAAATAGAGATGCTGCAATGGTGAGACCTGAAAAATGGACCTTAAAAGAACCTATATATGCAAGAACCAGGAAATAAAGCTATGAAATGGTTTGGAACCTATAGTTACTATCGACCTTTATGGAAATTGAAATATGTTTGTTTCAAGTTTGTTGTTCCTCCTCTAAAAGGTGATGGGTGTACTTTGAAAATTTATAGCAATTTCAGTCCGAAAAAGAAAATAAAAAAAAAGAGCATCAATTTTGATGATAATGTTGGAGCAGATGAAGATGGGGTCAAGGCAAATGTGATAGTCCAAGTAGCCTAACCCAAGAGGGGGTGAATTATATTCTACAAGTTTTTCCTCCACAAACCAAACCCTTTTCATCTCAAACACATGTATTTACAATAGGAATGATGCTTAGAGATCATATGACCATTATGGATTTGTTAGGAAGACATTAATCTATTCTTGAAAAGGTTTAGGGCTTATTCCCAACAAAAATGAAGGCTTATTAGAAGAGGAAAGTGCGATTGAGCCTTCAAATAGTTAGTTGGCTCAAACTGGTAGTCAACTGCTTGAATTTTGTTAGGATTATATAGTCGATTGATAGTCTTAGGTGGTCAACTACTACGCAAGAGAAAATCTTTTTTCTCTAGTAGTTGACTACTACTTGCAAGAGAATCTTTTCTCTCTAGTAGGTTATTACTTTTTGGTAGTTAACTACTTGATGCACTTAAGTTCTTAATCGTCCAAGGTAGTTGCATACCCCTTTTTCATTAGTTGTGGCCAAAGGTAGTGTAACACCAAGCTCAACTATCACATGTAGTCGATTACTCCATGGATATAGTCAACAACTACTTAGTGACATTAGTTTTCGTTGTCACATGTAGTCGATTACTACATTGCAGGCAATCAATTATGGTATATGAATAACCACAAAAAATTTTAGCTAGTGAAATATAGAGTTAGGAAATTGACTCCTTATATTTCCAAACTTAGAAACTGATCATTGTGATAAGATGGGTTTGCATCTGCCCCCCACATACTTGCCCCCMAAAAACATCCCACAAAACTGGAACGTGATGCGTGTCATGACACACACGCATTAAGCGAGACGCATGCCGAACCCATTTCACACCGTGAAATGCACCTCTGTTAATTCCTTTCTTGCCCAAAAGTGTTCCTTCTCCCATACTCCTCCATTCTACTTCGAACTGAAACTCTTGGCACCGGCCCCCTTTCGTAACCCACTCACCGGAGATTAACCCAGTCGAATTCCGCGGGCCGACGCCAACAGCCATATCCACAGGAGGTAAGTGCACGTGCTTCATTAACGGGGATGCCGGAAATGGCATCAACATCCCCTCGCACGTGTCTCACTAAGTGCCCGTGTTTTATGACACGCGTTGAGTTCCGATTGTGTGGGACGTATTTGGGGGGCAAATCTGTGGGGGGCAGATGCCAACCCTGATGAGATCTGCTAAGTTGTTAGACAAAGAGAATACTTTGGTGATGTCTTTCCCGATGAATTCTTGGTTCCATCATAGTAGAGGACATGACATTGGTTTTGTTTCTAAGGGGAACAAGTCCTTCCTCAATTTGTAATATTGGGTATTGGAGACAAAAAGATCATGTTGCAAGTTTCCATTTAGKCCTATAATTTGACGGATAGGTTTTAGGTTGGACCAATTTGGACGGGGTTCTAAAGGTGATACGTGATAGTGCTTTGTTATTTAAAGTCCATTTGGGTTGGGCTTATAGTAG